ACTCGTATTTTACTTTTGCAGCGTGTCAAACATTTATGTTCTGTTGCTGGCTGTGTGTGCCTCCTTTTTTTGTTTTTTTTAATTCTTATAACATTCACCGAAAGAGAAGATGACGAGTGACGTGAAAGAAGCAAAAAAACTCATACTTATTTAAAGATATTCATTTCATAAGGAGTATAGATATTGATACTTGTTTCTGTATAATTTACGATAGTTAGAATCGTTTAAAGAAAGACAGTGACTAGCAAGGAGACATTTCAGTGTATCTCTATTCGACAATCCGATTACTGATAGTTAACGGAGCACGACTGTTCTAAAAAAAAGTTGTTGCATCTTATTTTATGTTGAAATCAATGAACTTCATATTATCATGAACATGAGACAATTTTTCTTTAAGACGATACAAAGATTGATAATTTCCAGTACAATTCATTTTTCAATTTAAATAGATATTTTACAAAATTCGACGCTTCATTTTATTTCTCGAAAAAGAAAAAAGGAAAGAGAAAAACAATTAGCTTGTTCGTTTGAACTTGAACTTGAACTTCGAACATATTACATTTCCAAAGAAATATGTAGAACAAAAATCATTTTAGTTTTTACCTGATTCTTATGAGAAAAGCCAGCCTTTTCAGCTAATTTAATGCAAATATAAAAATCAAAATGGTAGGTTTAGACTATTTTAAATTCTAGTGAATATATGTGAGGTCTTCTTAAATGAGTTCTATCGACTATGGGAGAATACCAAACATTTATGATACGCATGGCAATGTGGACATATCTTGAAGTTTTCTTTTGATAATATCTCATAATCAAAAGACGTTGTTTTAGATGAAATCAAAATTGAAAGAAATCTTCAACAATTTTTTCATAAGTCCAACGGATACACGCAGGTATATTAAATAGAAAATTCAACATTGTTAGGGTATGCGGGCAACTTTATATAAATATGCACATCTTAAGATTTGTTTAAGAATAAAACATCGATTAGAATTTATTGCCATTAGAAAAATTAGTATATAACATCAGCATGTTGTCCCCTAGAATTTTTTTTGTGAAACTGTTTGTGATATCTTAGGCAAATCAATAGAGATTGAATGATAGCAATGTTTATTTTTTTTTTATTTACAGACCATGTCAATACTTACTATCTATATCTTGATAAGAATATAAATTATAAAGCAAAAATATAAAATATTTATTCTTACTACTAGAAAAATGAAAAATTAAATGAGATTGTAAAAAAATGAATATATTTTCTATCTGTTTATTTTTATTTTTCTTCAATATCAAATAAGAATAAATTATATCCTATATACGAATACATTTCTTCATTGATATTCTAGGAATAACTTCAAAATTATATGAAAATACAAAGCAAAATTTATCGATTGTGTCTTTATGTTCACTAGAAGATGATAAATGATAATGATAAAACATACTTTATATAACTCATCTTACACTTATGCTAAGATTTTGTTTTTTAATTAGATCATATAGAACAATAAAAAGCAGACATGGGTGTGGGTGTGAGTGTAGGTGGGGTGTGGGTGTGGGTGTGGGTGTGGGTGTGGGTGTGCGTGTCGGTGTGGGTCTGGGTCTTGATGTGTGTGGGTGTAGGTGTGGGCGTTGGCGTGGATGTCAGTTTGCTTTTCCTTTACACCCACACTCTCATCACTCACACCCATACCCACACCCCACACCC